ATTTTAGGCCACACATAGTGTAACAGTACTGGATATCGGCTAGAGTTATCCTAGCGTTCTCTCTACTAGCTAGGGCAATTATACCGTTAATGACTCTGTAATAGCTAATGGCCAGCTACATTGGGTAAAGTTTGTAATAATGAAGGACTTGGCAGAAGAAGATGTTGAGAGGGAACCTAAGTCTACACTCTATGAAGGCCACCACAGGAAAAAGGCATAGAGTCCCCATCAGGCATGATGGAGTCCTCCTCCCTTGCCAGCCTAAGGTGAACATCGGCTGGGATGTAGAACTCTGTCCAAAAGTACTCTAGTTTGCCCGGGTTATCTACCCTCCACCTGAACATACCCATAACGTCGGCTAAAGGGGAAGGATGCAGGATTTCAGAAGAAAATGGTTTGTTTGGGTTTAAAGACCTCAGCTAAACCCCAAACAGGTAATGGGGCAAGGGTTTTTCAAGATCTAGGGGAATTTGTTTCAATTTTCCTAAAGGATAGTAATTTCTATCAAAACCCAAGCCTAAATCTATGTGGAAATAGAGAATTGAAGGCAAGAATTTGGCAAATGCAACAAGGAAACATAAAAAAGAGCATGATTCAGACTCAAGAAAACGAATAGAAATTCAAGAACATTGTACAAAATGTGTGTAGATGTGTAAAGCCAACTACAGTGACAGAATAACAAATGTGTGAGTAGTATGTATAAACACACACCCAGAAAGAGATTGGATAGAAGCAAAATCACAAACATACATGATGAAATTCGAAATACAAGCAAAGATTCAAGAACATGAACAGATTCATAATGGCAGCATACAAGCGTAAACAAAGTTTGAAGTAAGTCAAAAACTGAAAGGAGGGGAAACAGTGACTTACCAAAAAGAATAATGCCGGTGTGAGGTACGCCAAAATTAGATGATGGTGGTGTGTGGAGCAGAACGGTGAATGCCTTGCCAGAGGGGAAGAACAGAGCACGTTACAGAAGCTTCAGAGAACGAAAATGGTGGTTTTTTGTTTAGAGAGAGAAAAAGCTTGAACTCAAAGGGAAAATGAGGATGCAAAAGTGAAGAGACTGAAAGAGAGAGTGTTTTTGTTAAAACACGAAAAGGCGGCAAAATTACATTGAATATGCCTTAGACGACGTGCTTTTTAGGCGGCGTGCGTAGACGCGATGCGACCTGATGGCGCGTGTCAGGTACAGGTCAATAAGGAAAAAACGCGTGGATAAAACGGTTGAGAAACCGTGCGTGACAACTCATGCGCAAATAGAACTCTTGGAGTTCTTGATTTAATGAAGCAAAGACCTCAGCTAGGAGGGTGATCTCGGTTAAAGAAATTAAAAACCTTGGTTCTTGGTTCTTGGACGTTGGTAAAGCAGAATGTAGTCTTGGACAGATGGAGCCGACGTGCGATGACCTTGGTAATGAAGAGGTAGAGTAAAGTTTTTAGCCAACGTGCTATTTGGACAAACGATATAGGTTCCATCACCTCAGGATGCTGAGGTAATAAAACCTAGGGGACAGTTGTGGGGGCATATTTTTGTAAATAACAACACGTGGCCAAGGTGGCACCGAAGTTCCAGCCGAGGTGCCACGTGTCCTGGTCATGGTGCCGAGGTGATCTCAGCTAGGCCGAGGTTACTTGCGGAGATACCGAAATCCGAGTTGAACAGATAAGGATCAAGAGTCCTAGAATAAGGGAGCACTTCAGTCTAGATAAAGATAAAGCTCTTAGGGAGTTTATCTCTATCTAACTGGGAGTCCAAGATAAGTATTGAGCCAGAGTCCATTGAAGCTAGGCTTCTACGAGGACCAGGTTAGTGCAAGCTATAAAAGAAAGGCACCCTCATGGGTCTAAGGTACGCCTTTTGTATCCTGGCTAGTGAGTTAAGCACTGTTTGCTATCTTTGAGAGATAATTGAGTACTGACTTGATCGTCAGACTGCTCCCGGGTGGACGAACCACCGCCGGAGTCTTATCTTTCTGTGACAGATTGTTCGGGCACAAGCTACTCTGCCGATATTCTCCAGCAGAGTACCTGTTTGGCAGTGTGGTCAAATATCAACACACATACAAGGTAAGCTAAAAGCTTGTTAATTAAATTTGAATTACATATATTTTTTTTTTGTGGATAAATCACACTAACATTTACTGAAGTTCAGTCGCAAAAAAACAGACGCAAAAAGGCATATTTCTAATAGTGCATGATGAAAAAATATATATATATATATAGAAAAAAATATTAAGAAAATTTAAGCACTTAAAATTTCAATATATAGTATTGATTTAAACTTTGTGTATGATGAGCCAAACTCTCTAATTCACATATTTCAAATTCATAACACTTTTTTAGTATTTACATAGCATTATTGCATGTTAAGCCCACATTGGGTAAAAATAATAAGGATAATAGGGTAAGTACCCTCTATCCCCAAATATCTATATTCCTCTCTCCTAATCCACTCACAATTATTGGATCATGTGAGAATTTTGCGATGTGAAAATTTCAATACATATTCAATAACTGTGAGTGAATTAAGATTAAGGGATAAGGATATTTGGAGACAAAACATATTAGCACATTTTTGTTTGGGTACATTGCTCTGATCTCCACTAAGGTTGAGAGAAAATGCAAATTTAATAATTTTGACATAATTATATTTATTTCATTTTAGTAAACTTAAAATGACTAAAACTAATATCCTTTTGACATAATTACACGCTCTTGTCTTTGATCTAGGGGTAGTTTTGTTTGTTTGTTGGCTGGATCTGCCTCCTTTTGGTCTGCTTGTTTTTCTTTCTTTCTTTTTTTTTCTTTTTTTTTTTTTTTCCTCTCTCTCTCTTAAGTTGGTGCCTTGCCGACTTCTTGCACAGCCTTGAAGCTACACAGATTGTACTCTTTTGGTGCTATGCTATGTCGGTTGCACATGATTTGCTTGTTCTCATGTGCCAATCTAGTTGGGATGTGGGATCAGCGCTATGATACATCTCACCGTTTAGCTCCCTTTTTGTATTCTCTTTCACATCTTTAATAAAAATTTCTTTGCCATTCAAAAAAAAAAAAAAAATTAACTGAAACTAATGTAAAACTAATGTAAATTGTGTGACCACACAAAGATAAACAACGTAAAATATACATTTTAGTGTAAAAGATTTGTCGTAGTCTTTTTTCATCTATATGATTAACAAATTTTTGATGAAAACACGATTAAATATTATGTGAATTAAAATTTTAAGAGAGTTCATTGTAATTATATCAAACTCTTGAGATTTTATTGTATTTTCTTCAAATCTCAACGGATGTAGGATAAGGTTTTTTGTTTTTATACTTTTCTGTTATTCTATTTTATGTATGGAAACTAACCCCAAATTGTAATTAAACTAATGTTACAAGTTTTGGATAACTGGTTTTTCTTGTACATTTTTCTATTTATTGGGAGCTATGGACAAGATTGTCTTGACTACATCTTAGCCAAAGGAACATTTCAAAGGTGGTGGAGTGATCAAAGGATGTGGATGGTGAGGGGAGTCACATGTCACATGTTTGGATTAATAGAATTCGTATCGAAGTACTTAGGCATTGCCACACAGGGATTCTATGTCACCAGCAAAGTAGTAGACAATGAATAGGGCAAAAGGTATGATCAAGGGACATTTGAGTTTGGAGTTGAGTCGCCCATGTTTGTGTCACTAGCAGTAGCAGAAATAATCAATTTAATCGCGTTTGTTGGAGGGTTGATCGGAGTTTTAAGGGGCATGAACTCACAGGGATTGTTTGGTCAATTGTTGATTTCAGGTTTTGTGGTGTTGAATTGTTGCCCAGTTTATGAGGCTATGGTGTTGAGAACTGATAAAGGAAGGATACCCACTAAGACTACCATCATTTCCACATTTCTTGCATGGGCTCTATACACAGCAGCTTCTCTTATACTAAAGATGTGAAATTAAAGGGGGAGTTGTTATATTGTTTTACTTTAATTTTATAGAAAATGAAGAGATAGAGAACTTGAATTGCATGTAATCCTGATTAACTAGGGATATAATTTGGGGAATACTAGTTTATTGTAAACTACGTGATTTTGTCAGCATTATTGCCTATTTGAGATTGTGTTTGGCCTTGTGAATCATAATATAAAAAAAAAAATTTAAAAATGTTGGATACTAACAATCTGAGTGAACTAACATTTTAGTTCCCAAAAAAAAAAAATAAAAAAAGAAGAAGAAAGTGAACTAACATTTGGTGATTATTGCCTATTTTGCGGTGTTAGTGATCCTAACATTTTGTCGCAATTCATGAGTACCTTTGACATGGGCATTCTCTGATCTACTGCTAATAATGATTGTGTATGAAATGTGTATAAAGAAGTATTTTATGACATTAGGAACTAAGAAAAATAATAAAAGTATTGTTATTAATGTCCAAAAATTAGATATGTTTTCTAAACTCAATGATGTGTTCAGAAGATAATTAGTTGATAATTAGAGAATATTTAATTATCAACCAATCATTTTTTTGACACATTACTGAGTCTAAAAAATAGACTTATATATTATTTTTCAAGTAACAATAATGTGCAATTCTCTCTCTCTCGATCTTGATCTCAAAATTGAGGATGAAAGTTTAGAGTTATCATTCTCTTTAAATAATTTGACAATATTACACAAATTAAAAAGAAGTTTGAACAGAAAACCAAGAGCGAAAATGTAATTTTCAAACAAATTTGAATTCACTTCAAATTTAATAGTATAAATGGAAACTGATAGATGATCACAACTCACAAAATTTGGCATGGGGAGATTACAAGCATAACAGGTTTTGGGGCTTTTTTGACTTTTAGCACTTTAGTCCCTCTTTGTCCCATTTCCTTGTATCAATCAATCACATTTGTTCCAACTTGATTTGGGCATTATAAAGCATGTATGTCTCTTGGGTTCAACTATTATGGATTTGGATATACTGAATCTTAATGTGGCTAAAAAATGTATGTACTATGATTACTATCACTAGATGATCCTTTCCATCACTAGCATGTGATGTTCTCCTAAATTGTTGTTAGCCATAACGAGTTGTTCTTGTTGCTCTAGATCATGAACCATCTGTGGATTATTGTTGAAGTTTTGGTTATCTTGGCTAGCTAGATTGGGTCCAACAGGTGGCTGTGAATGGTCCTGTTTGGTTGTGGTGATAATGGTGGTGATGATGATACATCTACATAGTGGACAGGTGCGGTTCGAGTGGAGCCAATAACCTATACAATCAATGTGAAACACGTGTTTGCATGTTGGAATTTGGTGCACCTCCTCCTTGATCTCAAATTCTCCCAAACAAACACAACACCTGTAGAGTAAGAATTTTACGAATTGGTTTAGTAACACATTTGATTAGACTCTCATTGAGAACTAATGTAGCTAGTATAACTTTCCAATGATTAGGGTAACTAGGTAAACCCCATGTAATAAAAGTAGTACTACTATCATAAAAATTAACAAATCTTCCTAAATCCTCTAATTCAATTTTAATTGTTCCTCTTACATTATTTTGGTGAGTTCCATTTCAATTATCAAAATTTTATTATCGAGTGAGTAAGAAAATTTTATAAGATTTGTTAATTTGCATATTATTTTTTAAAAAGAGAAGAAAAAAGATATAGAGAGAGAGATAGAATAATATCTGCATATAAGTAGTCACAAAAAATGAATGAATTATTGGATTATGTTGAGATTAAAAAAAATAGAAGACAATTGATTACATTGAAAGACTTACGTTGAATCCCTTGAAGTTAAATCTTCATCAACCAAGATTATTGGAAGATTGTCTTTAAGGTTTCCCTTCAAACCCATCTCACTCTACAGACATAAACACAGCAAAGAAACTTTAAAAATTAGAAGCATTCAAACAAGCTCATATACAATTGATTAACTTTGGTGTTTCATCAGAATACAAGATCAAGTATCATACTTCTCTTTCATTCTTGTGTATGTTTAGAGAGAAAGAAAGAAGACTTACTAAAGAAGGAAAGAGAGCATGATCTAAGGTGGTCCTTGGAAGTGTTGGTTGGGAGGAACCAGGGGAAGCCCTCCTCTTGAGGTAGAACAAGTAAAACAAGAGTAAGAGAATTATGGAGAAGAGTATTGGGATTGAGAATATAAAGGCCTGGTATAGTTTAAGTTGAATTGTTTGAGGATACAAGTGAGGAGAGTTTGGAGGAGCTTGAGGATAACCCATTTCTAGATTATTAATCTTTAATCTTTTGAAAAACTTCAAATGGTTCAAGGTCATAGAAGATTGAAAAACTAGACATCTAGCTACAAATTAAGGCTTTGTTGAACTTATATATAGAACCCCAAAAACATGTTATCTTACTATGAATTTTTTATTTTAAAATTATTCTGAAAAGGAAGTGTATGTTATAAATTTAAAATTGATGAGATGTGGATATTTTTCTATGTATGTTTCTAAATAATTATTCTGAGTATGTAGTTGAGAGGGTAATTTATAAGTAAATTGGGCCGAGCTGGGTAATGGGTCGTCTTGTGGGCCACAGTGAAAAGGCTGAGTAAAAGGGCCTTGTAGTTAGTTCAGTGCAAAAGAGCCTTGTAGTTAACGCGGTCACCACGGTTAGAGCAGCAACAATTAGCTCGGTCATACCAATCTGAGCCAAGGTATTTTGAGCCTTCCTTAGGACCTTGCTCTTGATTAGCTCGGTCCAAGCTTACTATGGTTAGCACGGTCTCAACAGGCGAAACCGAGGTACAAGTAATGAAGGGAAGAACCGAGCTAGTTAGAGTTAGGTCATTTCTGCCAGTCTAGCATGGTTGTTTTAGCTCGATCGGTTTGTCACAATACCGAGGTGAACCATCTCATTTGGTTTAAGCAGTGAGGGGGGTGTTGAAGGATAAGTATTATCTTTCAGGAGCGTGATTCCTAGGAGGACTCTACATGGAGGAGTAAGAGTCCCACTAGGATTGTGCCACGCGGAACTTATAAAAGCTCATGACATAACCTATGGAAGAGGTAACACAACTTTGATTCTCGAATACACAGAACTTTTTGTCTATTTGTCTATTTTGCTAACTTAGGCATCGGAGAGGTATCCGACACACACCCGACGGCTAGCTCACGTTTGTGTTTTTAGGGAGTAAAGCGACGACGTACGGAGGAGCGCAGACTTGATCAACCGGATATACGAGAACTTTATTTCGTGCTCGTACAATTGGCGCCGTCTGTGGGAAAATCCAAAAAGAACAAAAACCTCTTTATCAAGCTTTCCTCTCAAATTGAAAGCAATGGCGCACAATGAAGACTTGCCACAATCTGCCATTGATGGGCAAACCCCAGAAGGGGGTGGGAGGCACGAAGGTTTGCCTTCTATCCCACCCATGGCGGAATTAGATCCCCAGTGAAGGAATCCGCGGAGAGAAGCAAGAAGAAGATAGGGCTCAAGTCCACACCGCTCTCGGAGCCCTGATAAACAGAGGCGGAAGATGGATCATCAGGTTCTCGAAGATCGCGTAAGGGAGCAAGACGAAGTAATAAGAAGAATAGCGGCAGACATAGAGTTTATGAAGAGCGAGATAAAAAGCAAAGGGGTGGCAACAAAAGAGGGGAGCAGAGGCAACACACACTCTTGCCACTCAGAAGATCATGACAGACAAGTCACACTATCACAAACTGAAAGTAGAAGCCTCAGGTCGGGTGATACACAATCAAAGACTTCCAGGACACGCTACTCCAGACCTGAGAGAAAGAAGACTGAAAGGGCTCGAA